ACCGACCACATCGCATCGCACATCGGCAAGGCCATGGGCATCGCAGCTGTACTACGAGGCATCCCGCTCATCGCGTTCCCCCCACAACAGCCACTAGGCACTAGCAACTCCATGACTGGGCAATCAGGGCCCACACAGGGCGCCGTACTCCTCCCACTCGACGTAATGGCCGAAGCCAACGTCCGCGAAGAAGACGTCTTCCGACAAGGCGCTTCGGCCCCCGGCCTCCGTGACGCCATTTTCACTGTCGCGACACGCGCGAACGATCACCTCATCACCGCCCGCGAGATGCTGTCTAAGCTACGCTCCGAAGGCACACTCGGCCACGACTTCGAACACCAGAACGAGGAGGAACATCAGTATAGCGCACAGCAGATGAACACGGGGCAGGAAGCGCAGTTAGCAGAGGTCGAGCAGGCATTCGGTGTCTTTATGCCGAGCATAGCGACACAGTCCTGGCTGGACAGGTTACAAGGAGTGGACTTTGACATCTTCGATGCGAATCTGAGGAAAGTCGACTGGAAGCTGCCCATGAAAGCGTACTGGGCGTATAGTCGGCGGAAGTTATAATGTTCAAAAAGAATGAAGCATTTACCGATGTACTTCACAAGGCTGCAAGGTTCTCCGAGCGATGATGCTGATCTTCACCATTACATCAAACGGCGAGGTGCAAATCAAAACCCTGGAAGTGGACCGAATGCCATGTGGGGTTCGTTTTTCAATTTTAAGTTTCCTCTCCTTTTGAAGCTGAGGTAGGGAAAAAGAAGGAGGTACGGTGAACGTCCGCCTCTTTAAATACTCTTTCAGGGCCCTTGTCGCAATCGAGCTGGTAACCTCAGTGAAGTTTCATGGGAAGTTCATCGCATTGAGGAATTGTATTTTTGAATAGCACGGCAGGTCCCCGCACAGAACGTCATGCATATCGACATGACCTTTTGGAGAGGTTCTTATGAAGCTTCTGATATTGGTTCTTCAATCTTCGTTTCCACTATCAGAAGATCGAAGGGGCGCCGCAACACATCAAGTCCATATCTTGTCGTTTTGATGACCTGAGCTTTCGAATAGCGTGTCGGAGGTCTCAATTATGTGGTAGAAGCCGAACAGGAGAATGACAGACACTCATGTTGACATGCTCACAGACTTTTGGAAGCAAAATGCTGGAAGTTGGCTTTCGGTGGAAGAGAGAGAGCAGTGCTCATGTACCCGATCCAACGTAGTTTTTGGAGGCAAAGACAGTGCTCATAGGTTCTTGACGGCGTCATTTTGGGAAGCGAGGGCCGAACACATGTCGGGCTTTGTAACGCCTTTTGGAGCAAAGGAGAAGAAGAGGGGAATTGAGGAGTAACTAGGTGCACGGAAGGCGAGATTTATATATGACAGGAACCAGATGTGAACACTCAGCGCAGCGTATCGCGCGACCAACTTATCTTCGGTTTTTGATATGCTCTCATGTGCTCTTGTTGCTCAGACAAAACATAGTCACCATATCCACCATTTTTGAATGTCTCCAGGGCTCGGCGCGCAGAAGAACATGTCTAGGTCTTTTGTCTTATTCTGATAGTTTGTTCCAAGTGAGAATGGAAAATGAAAGGCAGAGAGGATATCTTTTCTAGCAGTTTTGGCGGTAAAGACTCAGAAGGCATTCTTTACGCAAGAGCGGGGACAATGCTCATGAGCTCTTTTCCGTTGCAATTTGGAAAGAAAAGGGCGGACACATCCCATGCTGATATTTTTGTTTTGTTTTGGAGAACAAAGTCTATATGGAGAGGAGGTGAGGAAGAGGACGAGCGAAAGTCGAGGTTTATATATCCGACCAACTGGAAGTTGGCCAGGGCACAGCATGTGGCGCGAAGTGTTGTTTTTGTTCAACGTGGTACCTCAGATCTCCTCGTCTTGTCGCACAGACAGAACATGGGTTGATGAACCATGACTTTTGGACAACTCGACGCAGAGAACGACATCGACTGTAATTCTCTGTGTTTTAAGATTTTGTTGGGAGTGACAATAGAATATAGGAGGGAGAACATTTTCAAGACTGCGAAGCCTTATATAGACCGGTTTCCATTGCAAGTTACTCCCCATGAAGATGCTCTGCACATCGTAAGCTTGACGGGGGATTTTGAAGGATGCACATCCATATGGGTTTCGATAAATTCGAATGAGCAGACTTTTCAGAGGAGAAGAAAATGAGGAAGGACGCGTATTTGAAACTTCTCCATTCTCGCCGCAGGCTCGTAAAGGTGGTAGAGCCCGACATAGTGCTGGTTGGCCGGTCATGCGCAATAGTATGTAAGATTGAAAGATGGCCGCGACAATGACGAAGTCGCTTCTGTTCGCAAGTGAGAACCTACACGGGAGGTATGCGTGCGGTACGCGCGTAAAATCAAAGCAAACTATTGATTCGGATGAATGACACGGACAGCGAGGATTAGAGCCCCGCCCTTTCGTATCCGATTTGGTTAGTCTACGCATCCTGCGTGTCATTGTCCTAGAGGATATCATGTCGCAAGTCCGTCATTTCGGTATTAAGATTTTTCGACTTTCATTTCCAGAATACTGATTGTGTCGGTCGGACGTACGGTGATCGAAGATGGCGTCAAATGTGTGTGCCCTCAGTCGCAGCCCCCTGGCCTTCGCAAGCTAACAACCACAGCCAAACACATCGATAACCTGGGCGGCATCGTCCAAAGAACATGCGTCCAAAGTTGGGTTTCTGGACTTACCGCGCGAACTTCGCGATCTGATCTACGAGTTCGCCTTCCGCATCACAGGCGCGGTCCTCGTCTACTCGCGCGACCCCTTCGCAGTTCGGCCGGTGATGAGAGTGCTGAACATCCGACACGGCGGCGAAGGACCGATTGAACCGCAACCCTTATGCAGCGGCCAGATCCCGGTAGCACTCATAAGGACGTGTCGACAGCTGCGGGCAGAAAGCAGCCCTGTTTTCTACGGGTCGAACGTTTTTTCTTTCTGGGCGCTGGGCAACATCGACGTGGGTTCCGCCAATCGGTGTTTGGTACGGCACATTGTGACTGAAGCAAGTCCTCGCGGCATCTTCGACAAGTCGCTCGAGCATGTGAGCTATTGCTGGAAGAGAAGGTTTTGGCCGGAAATACTGCGTAGCAGCGAGGCTATATTGGAGCAGTTCCCCAACCTGGACACGCTGACCTACTCACTGAAGCCGCCGCGTGAGGAAGTTTGGAAACCTGCTTTCTTTGATGTAGCCAACAAAACTAGAGAGCAGCGTGTCGATCTGGTTGCTAGTTGGATGGGTCAAATGTGTTCTTGGGAGAACGAGCGACTGCGTCGAATTTTGCATCTCGAGATGGTGCCCTCGCCTGGGCTCTCGAGAGATGAATATGCGGGTTCGCGGTTTATTCCTGAAGACGAAGACGTCTGGGACTACACCGAGTTCGTGGATGCATTCGAGCGGATGAAGAGATCGATTTGATTAGATAGACGGAGAAGCATATCGATTATATACAAGCAATATGAGCATTCTGTGGGTGGCCACGTTAGCAGAACCATCGTTCGGTGCAGGATGACGGAAGGAGGCATGATCGTGTGAGCCTTGCCTTTTCCGCCACATCTATCTCATTTCTTGAGCCCTTGGCACGATATGTGCTTTTCTCCACACAATGCAAGCAGAAACTTGAAGTTTGGTACCGGCATCCCTACGAACTGGTGGCTCAACTGGTAAGCGACGAGGCTAGATCGCCGGCCGATTCCGGCAACTACACCCAAGCCGCAGATGTCAAGCACGGCATCAAGAAAACGCCATTCCGCGCTCAGATCTCACAAAAAAAGATCCAATTGCCATCGACATGTTCCTCCGACCAGCGCGCACCTGCACACGGTCACTCCACACATCAACCCGCGCAATCACGGCCCGGCCGTCCATGAACCCACCAAACGACGCTTTCCGAAACCGGCAAAACCTAGTTCCCAAATTTTCGACAAAACAGTCATCATTGCAATTGAGCAGCCGGCGATTCATAGCAACATCCGTACCGCGACTTCAACAAATCGGCTCCGCAGAACGGATTTCAACATCCAAAATGGCAGGCGACGATCACTACCTCACGCTCTCATGCCCGGATAAGGCAGGCATTGTGTACGCCGTCACGGGCCTACTGGCAAAGGAAAATCTCACGATTCTCGATCTGCAGCAATTTTCCGACCCAGACTCCAAGACCTTCTTCATGCGTGTGCATTTCGGCCATGCAGCAGATGTATCCGCGCTCCAAGAAAGCATGAAGAAGCTCGCTTCGGAAATGAGCATGACATACCAGATCCAGCGGGTAGACTCCAAGCCCAAAGTCCTCATTATGGTATCTAAAATCGGACACTGCCTCAACGACCTCTTGTTCCGCGTCAAGTCCGGTCAACTTAAAGTCGAAGTCCCGATTATTGTGTCCAACCACCCCGAGTTTGCCGAGCTGGCAAAGAACAACGGCATTGAGTTCCACCACCTGCCTGTAACCAAGGACACCAAGGAGAAGCAGGAGACGCAGATTCTGGATCTGATCAAGCAACATAACATCGACCTTGTTGTTCTGGCGCGCTACATGCAGGTCCTCTCACCGCGCCTGTGCACGGAGATGTCGGGCAAGATTATCAACATTCATCACTCTTTCTTGCCTTCGTTCAAGGGCGCGAAACCTTACCATCAGGCCTACGAGCGAGGTGTCAAGATCATCGGTGCGACCGCACATTTCGTCACAGCGGATCTGGACGAGGGACCAATCATTGAACAGCGCGTTGCGAGAGTTGACCATGCTTTGAGCCCCAAGGAGTTGGTCGAAGAGGGAAGCAATGTTGAGAGCCAGGTCTTGGCAGCGGCGGTCAAGTGGTGGAGCGAGAAGAGGGTGTTTTTGAACGGTCAAAAGACTGTTGTGTTCAACTAAAGCGTGCCATCAAAAGCCGACGAAAAGTAATGTAGATGTACACATGTGTCATGAAAAGCGTCTGAAAATTAATCTACAATGGATTACGCACGGTCACCACTTCACGCGCAGGCCTTCGAAACTTCTCGGCATAGGTGGAAAGTCAGCAGACAGGCCATCTTCGCCGATGTACTTCTCCTTGAGTAGCAGGCAAGTCGAGCACAGGCGCTCCCCGATTGAGTGTTCACCGAGCCAGATGCGGCCTTGAGCGCTGTAAAGCAAAGTCGCGATGTCGGTGAACATGTTCGATGTGTGGTTGGTTTGGAGGTCGGTATCGTTGAAAACGTGCGGCTGGGCATCGAAGAACTCGTCACCAGGATGCGTATCATCGTCGGTATCGTCCGTTTGAAGCATCCCGGTATAGTCTCGAAGCTCTTCTAATATCGTAGAGCCTTTTAGAATCGTGTCGCAGACACAGTTCGAGTTGTGGCCGGACTTGACGCATTCTGTGACGGCTATACGCGCAGGTTCAACCAGCCCGCCAGCAAAAGGACCGTAGTCGTCTCCGCAGAGAGTGCATGCGGTTCTTGATGACTTTCCAGCGCCATGAGGGATATCCTTGGCGTGAGTCAGCACACGGACGAAGGTCCTTCGTTTCATGCCCATTCGGCGTAGATAGTCATCGAGCTCTTCGCGCATGTACACTTTCAACTGCTCAATGCAGTCCAACACTGCGTTACACCAAGCTGAGTAGATACTAGGCAGCGCTTGCAGATATTCCTTATGTGTGAGGTTGTCCTCCATCCAATCAAAGCCCCTCATTTGTAGAAACGAGCCGGCGTTCACTGCCATTGGTAGGACCACTCGACCGATTACACGTAGAGCAAGCCAAGAGCCCATAGCGTGTAGGTGTCTCTTGCTGATATCCAGACGCTCTTCGCTAGAAAGACCGAGAATGTGCTCGAGGTAGTTGTTGTGATGCGCATGGTTGAGAACAGATCTCATGGCGTGTTGCAGGGCGGACCAAGCAGTGCGCACGCTAAATTCGACGTATTGTTCTTTCACGGTAAGGTGAAGTAGCCACGTAATACTGTTTCGCGAAATAGGAACTCGTTCTCTCGCATACGCTCTCTTGAGCCAGTCGTGTACAGTCCAGCCATCACTGTCAGCGTCGGCGATGTCAATGCATTCGCAGAAGAGTCTGAGCATTGCGATCTTGATATCGGCGTGCTCATCGGTGCAAAATGCGACGAAAAGCGATATGGGCGATCTAGTTTCGTTAGCAGCGGTACCGTCAGTCGACACTGGAGACCTACAAGATCGCATCAGAAGGTCCTTCGTACACCAGTGCAGACTTGTCTGCCCCTCCCTTGATCAACAAAGCGCAAAGCTCGACGTGACCTGCTGCGGCGGCAAACTGGCCAAGTCAGCATCCTTGATTGAATTGTCCACATAGGAGTAGCGTCTTACGTGCAGTGGCTTCCATCCTTTGGGGCTCGTGTCTACTACGCTTGCCATTCCCTTCTCCAGAAGCGTTTCGACAGCACGGGTCTGACCGGTGCGACAGAGCTCGAAGATGAGTGAGTCATCGGGAACCGGGCAGGTTACTGTTATGTTACAGTTAAAGAGCCAGCTGCGCCCCCCGGATGCCACGACAGCTTCGATGCCGCTCTGAATACCCATGTACTGTTGCCATCTTGTAGGGTATAATATCAACGACCTGACGATCTGGGACTTCCTACGTCTCTTGGAAGACTTGTCGTCGTGATGAATAGTCGTTGTGCGTAGCCAAGCACATCCGAGTGCAGTGCGAATGGTTGAGACATGGTGTCTTACGCGATACCGCAGATTCTCGGCATAAACAAAAGTCTTGGTCCGCAGCTGTCCACATTCATCGATCGTATAGCCGTCTTGTGAATAGATCTCCAGCGATTCCGGTTCGAAGGTAGTGACCGCAGTTTGTGCGATGGCGTGCAGCATGAGCTCCTGTACCTCATAATCGATCGAGCTGCGCTCCGTGGGCATTATACCCAATGGCTGTAGTGCGTTTGTCGTGAATGAAGACGTCATTCGACGGAGGGAACGCTGGCCAACGAATTTTGAGGGGATACTATGCACTGGCGTCCAACTAGACGCGTCCTCGATCCCAGGCAAACGAAGTGGGCCTTTCCGGACGGGTTTAGAAGCACCATGTCCTTCGATCACTCCAGATACTTTCAATTTTGTCGAAAGACGGAAAGAGCGAGCCTGAATCACGCTAAGTGTGCATGATCAGCGAACCGCTATTGGCATGGATAGAATCGCGTCGTACCTTTCGTGAGCCATAGCTAGTGTGAGAGTCGACTTTGTGTCGTTCAAAGAGTCACGGAACCGTTGGATATGTTTGCTGTGAAGGGCAGCTTTGAAAGCTGTACGTACTCGTTGCCTTCGCGACAGCGATGAAAGTCCGTCATCGAATCTTTCAACAATGAGTGTCAGATCCTGAAATGGTCAGTGGTAGCTTGCGTGCCGAAATCGGTACACTTACTGCAATCTTGGCTCGGCAGTGTTGTACACCTTCTGCTAGACAACCACCAAGACTGTTGCCATGGGATTCGACTCTCTGGAAGACTGAGATGAGGAAGCGTAGATCTTCCTTGATAGCAACGATCTCCCGAGGAGCATCTTCGACGGTCTCCCAAAACGTGTAAAGTTTGATGCAGGCTTCGGTAAGTTGGAAAGCCACAGATATTACAGCGATGCCTGGATGCTATTAGTAAGAGATGACGAAATCGTTCATCGAAAGTACCATTTGCCGCGACCGAAAGTCCTTCCATTGTCTGTGCAGCCTGATTACTGATTGCATGGCAAGAGCAGTCGGATTGGGGCTTATATTCCAGTGAGCCTACCTAGGTACTGCGGCACAGCAGATGGGCGAGGTTCACTCTCGTCTCAGCATTGCTGCGCCAATGCATGTTCAATAATTCCCCTGCAGGTCGCCTCGTGCTTTACCTCCGCAAACTCCGCGCTGAGCATACCTTTGAGCCTTGCGCATGGTCATAGCTGGGAAACCGGGAGACAGCATCGAACAACAATGTGCGCGGCAGATTGACGCGCTTGTGTGAGTAACAGCCATGACGGTTGCCCATTACCTTGTTTTTCTCTGGTTGTAATATCAGCAAACTTCGATACTTTACAAGACCTGCCCATAAGCTCGAAACGATTTCGATGGTCGGGCGACGGTTCGTCAACGGTGCTCGGGGAGGCTGGGTCGATCGACGCTTCCGCCCCCACACTATCCACTTGTGGATTCAGCCGTCACGTAACGGGTGTCGAGGCTGACGCGTTCCAGGGAGCTCTAGAGGACGAGATCGCATACAATAGGTTGGAGCGTCGCGTGTCGCAAACTTTGATAAGATAGATGAAGAAGAGCTGAGTGGGTGGAGGCACGGAAAGGACCAGGGCGCTAGCGACAAGAGCGGCACGTGGGCAGCCACCCGCATCTGTTGGCAGCCATGCAAGACGTTGCGCTGATATTTCCCGATAGATTGGGAGAAGAAAAAGGTATTAGTTCTTATCCATGCTTCCAAGTTACATAGGTGTCTATTCATCCTCCATCTTCGGCTTCAATGATGTATTTCCATGATGTCTCTTCGTCAACCCCGCATACGGCGCACCTCTAACGATAGGCGCGATTTCTGAAGCAACGCCGAAAGCACAGTGATTCACACTCTGGAAGTCGCCAATCCCCTGATACCCATGTTCCCTCATGTACTCTGGATCGTTGCTATTCGCAAGAACACCAAACTTGAGTCTAGTATGCATCAGCTCCAACGGGAAAGGATCATTACCCAAACATGCGCCGCGACTGATGTCATCCAAGGTGGTATTTCGTGTGGTAACTAGAATGCGAGAGAAGCCAGTCGAGAACGTCGTCCCGTCTTGCCAGATTGTGAAAGCGCCGAAGAGGAGGATGAGGAGTGTGATGAAGACGACTGGAGCGTAACATTGCCAGAGCCGTTCGGGGACGTAGACGAATGAGGATTGGAGCCGCGAGCGGTTCACTGTGAGCTGTTCTTCGGCGACTGCTAGCATCTCTGGCGCTGATAGCAATGACAGAACCATGTCTGAGTAGAATGTCTCGATCTCATCCGTTAGGTTTTGCTTTGGCTCGCTGTTTTTCTGGACTAGTCGTGTCTTTGTGACATCAGAATAGACTTGTGCATAGTATGGTCCAGGTAATGGCGGGTCGAGATCGACGTGACCGCGGAGGAAGTCCCTGAACATGTCGCCGACAGCATGGTATGCGGCCGTTTTCTTGTAAAAGCCCACATCGCTCCGAGGGCTGATGTATTCTTCCGCTGGTCCCGGATCGAGGGTGTAGTTGATCTTGCCGTCGACTCCCCGCGGAAAGCTGGTGTCTAGAATGGGCCTCTGCGGTTCTAGCTTGACCGTGGAATTGAAGAAGGGTTCAGTGAAGTTCCAGCTGACTGTATACTTAGTCTCCATATGTATACAGCGCATAATTCGCGCATCATAGCGATGTGTCCAATTCTTTGCGAGGGGGTCATCCTCCGCGAGCTTTACCGTGGAATTGAACGCATAGCCAATCCAGAGCGCAGGTTCTGACTTGAAGACACCCAGATCGACTGGAGTTTCACCATCAGGTATACCACCCGGACCTTTGCGGAAGTTGTTGGCTTGCGGGCGGGCATATTCGCCCTCGTCGACGTCGGCGTAGTAAACGAAGCGGCCTCGCGGTGCCAAAATGCTCATGTTGAAGGGCGCACCCAATTCTGTTAGTCTCTCGTCGTCATCTGCACCACTGGCTATCTCTTCGCATTGGTAGCTCGGCCCAACAAAGCTTTGTTCGTAAGTGCAATTGTACCGCCCTCCACAAGCGTCTTGCCGAGCATCTTGCCTGATGTTGGGACGGTCCAAGTTGCTATAAGCCAGCAGAAGAGCGACACGTCTTAACTCCGCCGAGGGCTGATCGTAATAGTCAAACCAGCCTGGTGCCGTGCCAGCAATGTCTGTAGTATTGTAATACATCATCGATCTCTTGTTGCTTCCGTCGGCCAACTTCACCGGATTTCGCCAGTCTTTTGTGGACTCCATCGAGAAGTTCAGCGTGGGAACTTTGAGATCGATTGTCTCGCTGTCGAGATAGGTTCCGAAGGTAAGCGCACCGGGCGAGAAGATAATTGTTGCCAACGGGACCAGCCAGATGACCTGCAAGCCAGCATCTTTGATTAGTGATGTATCCTATACAGTTCTCACACGGATAGTTACTCACCAAGGCAATAGCGCACAGAACCGGTGCACTAGAAAGGGCCTCCCAATTGCCAAAGATTGTTGGATCTTCCGTAGCCCCGAAGATCTGGTCGATAGACAGCACTGTGAAAGCCCGGTTCCTAAACGCTCTCCACATGCGCTGACGGAACACCAGAACCACACATCCGCCGAAAGCAAGCTTCGATAGATAGGCAAGTGCGCGCCCATACAGAACCCAGCGAAACTTCTTGTCCTCGTCCTCTTCTCGCTGGTGGTGCAAGAAAGTATACAAGAGGTGTTGAAGAAGCGCAAATACGATGCCCATGATGAAAGCAAACACCATGAGTGCTGGCCCACGCCAGTTTACTTGCCATTGAGTTGACTGCGTCGCCCGATGTGCTATCAACCTCTCGGTCATAGGATCTGTTCGCGCTCTCGAGATGCCCGATCCAAACGAATACAGTGTATCTGGTGTTCTGGAGTATGGTGGTCGTGGCCCTGGAGAGTAGTTCGGAGGAGAAAAAGCGCCAGGCTTCGTATTAGGCGTATCCTGCCGCCAATGCGTAGAGCCTGGTGATTTGGGTGATGGCATGGGCTCCATTTGGATGCCTAGGCCTGGGTCGATGATGTTCTCGGTGTATCTGGATGGCGTCCCGCGCCTGCTGTCGGAGGATTCGTCGCTTGTTCGCGAAGGTAAAGTAGCATAATCTGGTCGCGATATGCGAATGTCTGGCGATGCAGGTAAATATGAG